TTTCTCTCTGTGTCTCTCTGTCTCTCTCTCTGTCTCTATCTCTCTCTCTCTCTCTCTATCTCTCTCTCTCTCTCTCTCTCTCTCTCTCTTTCTCAGTCTCTCTCTCTCTCTGTCTCTCTGTCTCTCTGTCTCTCTCTTTCTCTCTCTCTATCTGTCTCTCTCTCTCTGTCTCTGTCTCTCTCTCTCTCTCTCTCTCTCTCTCTCTCTCTCTCTCTCTCTCTCTCTCTCTCTCTCTCTCTCTCTCTCTCTCTCTCATCTTCTAATTATAGCGTATACACCGTTGGAAATGGCGGGAAGGATTTGTCGACATTTCACTGCCTTGATCTGATCACTTTTTTTTTTTTCCCCTGCCTTGAGCTGATCACTTTTTTTTTCTTTCCCCCTTGGAAGCCTGCTTGGCTCTTTGGCACCCCCATCATGGCAAATGACCCGGGCAATGCACAACAGCTTTCCGAGGAAGCTCTCATACAAATCGAGCTGCACAAATTAGATCTGGCTGACAAGCGCGAGCAAAAGGCAGCCGAGCGCGCGGAGAAGAGACGGGCAGTGTGCAGTGAAAAGGTTTGTCGTGCTCTGCCTCGGTGTGATGCGGAAAGCAAGCGCTGCCTCCTCATTTTGCTTGGTTTGCTATCCCTAGATTGACATATTGGAGAAAAGATTCTGTGGTCTCACGGCAGAGAACACCCTGGCCCTTCGAGAAAAGATGATGTCATTCAATGACAATGAGTTTGAGCATTACGTCGTCCAGTGGATCAAGGAGGACATCTCACCCGAGAAGATGAAGTCTTTCCCCATTGAAGGTGTGTGTTTGTGATTGTTCACGTGTGTCGTTGTGTGTCACCCACCCAGGTCTATTCTTGGCCATTGTCTTGGTGCGCAGGCATTAAGTGGCAAAAAAACGAAGCAGATGATGGTGCAATGCCATTAAAGGCACCCTCACAAACCCCGTCTTTAAAAGCTGCAAATCAACACCTTGAATGCGCCGTTGCAGAGCTTCCCTGCAGCCACCACTACTATGCAGCAAAAATTGTCAAGCACATCGACGACCTTTATGCCGACAAGACGTGGCAGGGCAACAAGAAGCTGACTCAAGAACTACTGTGGGCGGTCAATGCTCCGGATGATACCTCAGTGCCTGACCTCCAGCAAGAGAACAGCATTTCTTCGCGACTGACCATCGTGCTGCAGGAGCACTTTGGCCTGAACTTTGTCCATCAGTACGCCATCGGCGCCAAAAACACCCATGTTGATTAGGCGGGCTTTGACCGCAACCACCACGTTGTTGTCATGGGTGAGTGCAAGAAGGAGGCTCAGCCGTTTGATCAATATGGAGGACAGGTTGCCAATGAGCTCGTGCGACTGGGAGCCATTGCAACACGGTATGAGAGCAGAAGCTCCGCGCCGCTGACGGACCGGAGCACCGAGTGGCCCATTGTCAACATCAACGTGGTGGGAAGCCATGTGAGCGCATACCTGGCCCTCAATGTCTCTGGAAGTCACTGGTTAACGGCCAGGCGCATGGCGCCATCGCTGCTGCCATCACTTGAGGGCTCAAGTGCCAACGCGAAGAAGATGCAGCAAAAGTCATCTGGGCTGCTCTTTTTGCGACTCGGTACTGCAGACTTGAAGAAGAGTGACGAGAGTAAACGGCAGGTCGAAAGCATCTTGGAAGCGTGCAAGGAGTTTGTGCAAACCGATTTGTCAGGCCTGCTGGCTGGGGATTGGGAGGATGGCAGCCGGCCAGAGTTGCCCCCACAACCCTTTCCTTGCCCTTTCAAGGACTTACACGACTGGGAGTTGTTCAAATCGTTTGGTCCCAACGTGCAGGTCAATGCACGGTGTTTAAGCACTTTGACTACTGGGGTCGCAGCCCAAAACTCTGCAGCGCCTTGAACCGTGTCGTGAATGACCAAGATCGCCGCCACCCGCCCAACGAGCGAATCCTGAGGCAACTTGCTCAACTGGAGGCGACGGGCACCTTCTATCAGAAATGGAAGGTGACGGAGCTTGCATCTGCCGTGCATGTGCTCAGCTACCCTTACGTGGAGCTGGCGCATCCCACCGAGCTCAAGCAACTGGTCCAGGTCATACGCCAACTGGAGGCCATCCACAGCGTCGACTTTGTGCACGGCGACATTCTCCCCCGCAACATTCTGTTTTGCAGCGACTGGGAAGAACATCCTGCGGCCTTTCTCATTGACTTTGATCTTGGCCGGTTCCTCGCCGATGTACCCCGCTATGCCTCCAACTTTGCCACGGCAGCGGAGGTGCTGGAGCCGTATCGTCACGGTGATGCGATCCCACATGCGAAGATGGCGAAGGGGCATGATGGCTTTGCCTTGGCGCGTGTCATGGAGGACTTTTTAGAGGCTGACGGGCCTCGTGATGAGCTGGTGCCTGCGCTGAATGATCTCCACCTGGATGAGGCTGCCAGGCTGTGCGAGGCCTGCAAGCTTCTGTCTGATTTCAAGGTTTCCGTGTCGGGCAAGGCCACAGGCAGTCCGCGTAAGTGAGTCAACCCCGGCCTTTTTCTTTTCCCGAGTGTGTTTGCCGGTCTTGACCCAGTTCCTGTCCAAGTTGCTCTGCGCCGACGCAACGATGTCATGTATACCCATGCGTTGCGTCGAAAGCTGACTGCATGAAGGAGTGCCATAAGCTTTTACTGTAAGAGGCAGCCTATCAAATCGGGCCAAGGCGTGCACCTGATGCAAACACTGTAGCTGCTGTAGCAGCCGCAGATGAATCGATTTCCATGTCTCAACACCACGATACTTTCCAACTTGGACACAACGATACTTTCCAACTTGGCTCTTTCTGTGCCAACGTTGAGGCAACAAGCCTACTCGCTGCCTGCACCTCATCGCGCTATTCTGCCTCTGCCGAGGTGGACGCCCACCACCACGAACACACATTTGTTGGCGATGAAAGGCAGGTGATGGGTCGCTCGGGTCGTGTTGGTCGAGCACGATGCCCGCTCCTGGAGGATACGGAGATTACAGCGAGGAAGAGTCTGACCTCCTCCCCCCCCGCCCCACTTCTACAACGACCATTATTAACATGATTGTGCATCATCATGATGGAGTGTGCGCAAACCCTTTCATATCTCAAACTCTCCTTTCTCTCAAACTCTTTCTCTCAAACTCTCTCTCAAACTCTCTCTCAAACTCTCTCTCAAACTCTCTCAACTCTCTCTCTCTCTCCCCCTCTCAAGCTCTCAAGCTCTCACTCTTTCTCTCTCAAACTCCCCCAATCTCAATCTTCTCTCTCTGTGTGTCTCTCTCTGTTTCTCTCTCTTTCTGGCTGTTTCGCCTGATTTTTTTTTTAGCATTTCAAGCTTCTTGGCAGCTAGGAACCGACAGGATGAGTGGTGAGTTGATGTGGCATGGACGGGTGCAAGAGAGAGAGAGAGAGAGAGAGAGAGGAGATGTGTTCATCGAGAAAGGGTGCCTGACACGGTGGGAGGGGTATAGCGTTGGCGGCTGGCTCTCATCTCATCTTTTGACGACTGGACCTGCCACGTGGTGGGGCGATGTTGGGGTGGGCTGCCAGCAGTTAAGGACCACATCATCTTCACGTCGCCTGAAAATGAGGCGGACTTTGAGGAGACCAAGGACTCAAGCCCCATTGGCGCGGACGTTGGTGAGGCCGTGGGCCCAGGCGGCGAAATTGACTGGGATTGCCCTTGTCTTCAGGGTACGAATTCACTGATCATGCCCTGTGCAGAAACCGCTTTGGTGTGCACTCACCCACACCCAACACCATCCCTGCTTTGTCTTGTGGCGCCCTTTTTGCCGTGGTTATTTTTTTCCGTCTGAACTAGGCATGACGGACGGCCCCTGTGGAGATGCGTTCAAGGAGGCCTTCAGCTGCTTCGTCTACAGCCAGGAAGAGCAGAAAGGTTGGCCACGCGACCCATTGCATGCCATTTTCGCACTATTTCAGTGAAGAACAGAGCGCATCATCGGCCTGCTGCTCGTCATGACATGTTCAAAAGGCGCTCATATGACCGTCGCTGTGTAGGTTCGGAATGCCTGGAACAGTTCAAGGCCATGCAGGACTGTTTGGTGGCCAATGCCGAATACTATGGCATGAACAACGGTGACGGTGATGCCGCTGCGCCGGCCGAGGCGGTGGCCGACAATGTCTCTGAAACCGTCACCGAGGTTGCCTCTGAGGCTGCAGAGGCCGTCTCCGAGGCTGTGGAGGCCGTCTCCGAGGTCGTCGAGTCAGTCCCTGAAGCCGTCTCGGAAGCCGTTGCCGAGGTCTCCGAGGCTGCCTCCAAGGTCGCCGCTGACGTTGCAGAGGTTGCTGCCGATGTTGCAGACGCCGTCGTTGACGCAGTTACCCCACAGAACCAGGATGACAAGACCGCCGACAGCAACTAAACGCGCTGCGCCCCGTTCTCACCAACAAAGCAGTTCTCCCTGCTATGTCTGGTCGCTCATCTCGCCTCGTGCACCCACCCACTCCATTCGTCTAATTACCTCGTTGCGCATGTGGCGGGAGACGTGAGATACACGCACACGTTCCTATGGCCGTCCCGGTGGTGATTCGCCTTGCCTCGTTAGCCTCGCACAATCTGTCCGGGGGCCAATCATGGCCGGCAACGGCGCTGCTTTTTGGGTCTGTGACTTCTTGCTTTTCGTCTTTCTTCTGATTTCTCCCATCACTCTGTTTTGTGTCGTCCGTTCCCCCACTTGCCACCTTTATCCCTTTGATTCGGTTGTCTCTTGGCTCGTGCCATGCATACAGCCCGCGTGGTTTCGTTCTCTTGAGTCTCTCTAGTGTACATGTTTAACAGCGCGGGCGCTTCATCAGCCTCCTTGTCTCTTGAGCGACACTTCGGCATAGCTCTGGCTGAGGCATAGGACTTGGGTCTACATCAGCCCCAAAGGGACACCAAGCCACCACCTTGGCCCCTCTATAACCCCTTGAAACCACAATTCAAACTTTCGGCTGCCTTTTTGTAAGCCTCTCCTCGTGCCTCCACGACAAGTCTGAAAAGATGCAGTCTTTGCCCTTCTCTGCCTCTCCCAGAAGAGAACCGGAGAGACCAGGCAGCCAGACAAGACAGACAAACAGTGTGCGTCTCCACACACACACACACACACACACACACACACACACACGCACAGAGCAAATATCGCACTTTGTCACACTAATCTAGTATCAGAGTGTGACATTAGGCACACTGATATCAAATTGGCAAATGTAGCGCGAGAGCCGTCTGCGGGCATTTGACACAAAAAGAGCAGAGAGGTATCGAGCTGGCGGCGGCGGGGGCGGGGAAAAGGCAGCGCTGGTGTTGCGAGGGTGGCGGGCGATTCAAGCCGATGGTTGGTTGTTGACACGGCCTTTGAGGATACACTACCATTGATGCACCACAGCTGATTGGTCCGATTTGCCAATCGACCATACGGTGGTGCCTGTGCGAGTGGATGCGTGTGCGTCCTTCTTGATTCGTTCGATCAGGGTGAGACTTGAGCCCTCGCCATGCTCGCCATGCTCGCCATGTCTGCCTCATCTCAGACGCACTTTTTTAGAATTCACCCACCCTTTCTGTGCTTGATCCTTGGCCGTCTGCTCACGAGGCGCGCCTGCTACCTGGCCCTTTGCTCTACCGCCACTTTCCGTGTGTGCATGCTTGAAACCCCTTTCAGCGACCTCGGCAAAAGCATTAGAGTGGGCTGCTTTCTTTGGACGACGCCTTGACTGGTGTCCTCCGACCCCTGTCCTGACATCAGCAAACATGGCTCAACAAAAATCCGCGTACGAATGGCCTCGCGACATTGGCTCAAAAACCTGGCTCCACATCTCATTCAACCCTGGCCGCTCATCCGTGTACAACAGAGACTACAAGGTTGTTGTGCTGGGGCCACCCTCGGCCGGCAAGACGGCTCTCATTGAACGCTTTGATAGCGGTACTTTCAATGGCAAAACCACTCAGGTTACCCTCGTCACCTGTCTTACCGAAGCCCGGCTTAGGAGATGGATGGTGACTTCCTGACATTGCAACTTTGCTCGTTCGCTAGACGCTTGGCATGTCCTTCATCCTAAAAGATGTCTTTGGCATGTATCTGGCATTATGGGACACAGCGGGTGAGCGGTGTGCCTGCTGGTGCCATGCAGCCTGCTTTTGCTTTCGACCTCATCTTTGCTTGCTGTTCCACCCCATGCGCCAGGCCAAGAGCGCTACGCAACCCTCACAAGCTTTTATGCTCGTACGTTTCACATCATGGCACCGTCCTGCACCGTCTTTTCGCAAAAAAAAACATGCGCTTACCCCTTTGCCGCGGACGCGACCAACCAGGTGATGCCAGCGCGGCCATTGTGTGTTTCGATTTGACTGACCCAGATCACTTTGGTCACTTGGACAAGTGGTACAGATATATCAACGATGCAGCCCCAAACTGCAAACACATTCTCGTCGGTGCGTTTGATTGAGGTCCCGTGCGTCACATGCAAGCGTGTCCCAATCACTTGGTACATCCTCACGCCTTAGGCTGCAAAATGGATCTAATTGAGGAGAATCCAGACAAACGCGCTGCCGACCCCGGCTTGGCTCGTAGCTATGCCCAGGCCAAGGTATTAACCCCTTCCCTTCCTCTCTCTCTCTCTCTCTCTCTCTCTCTCTCTCTCTCTCTCTCTCTCTCTCTCTCTCTCTCTCTCTCTCTCTCTCTCTCTCTCTCTCTCTCTCTCTCTCTCTCTCTCTCTCTCTCTCTCTCTCTCTCTCTCTCTCTCTC